GAAAGGGGAAAAAAAACCACTCCAAAGAGAACGGCCCTTTGCCCACTCTGGGGGAAGAAGCCTACAGTTCACATTGTTTCCTGTTATTGCATCGCCCTTAGCTCCCTTGCCTCACCCCTGGAGCTGCTTCATGCAAAGGAGAACCAGAGCTAGGACTCGGGGCCCCGCTGCCATGGTCGGCAGCCACAAGAACGTGTCAGAAAGGTGCCCTCTCCTGGCGGCCGGCGCCTGCGGAACTACCAGGGAGGAAGCTCCCATCAGAGTCCACGGCTGCCCCCTGGTGGCCTCGAGGGGAACGAGCTGCAGGGTCTCCGGCCCGCGCTCTCTGGAAGGGCCTCTCAATTCACGACTGTCCTTTCAGGTCAGTACTTTCAGTTCCAGGTCAGTTAGGAACACTGTCATCAGCTACAGGGCAAGTGGCAGGAGTCATCGGTGGGAACTGATTATGGATCCACAGGGCCAGGCCCCTGGGAACAAATGTCCCTCAAACATACTGAGTCTAAAATACTTAGGCCTAGGCTCAACCAACGCCCAGCATAAAAGAAGAGATGTCGAAGGTCTAGCAAACGTTTGCACAGTAGAGAATACCACACTCTTTGGGTTATGTCAAATCCTCACATGGAAGGACAAAGTGGGACCCCGGGAGCAGGTTCTGCTTGTGGCCATCTGTCGTCAAGTACAGAGTACTCCCAGTCTACCCGGGGCCCACATGGGAATGAGCGCCAGTTCTCAAGTTCCACCCAGAAGCAGGTCCTACCATCTCTCCCTGCTCCTTGGGCCCCAAGAGAAGTCTTCTAACACTGAGAAGCTCCCTGGCCCGAGAGCTCACCCTATCCCAGCAGCACCCCCACCTCCTTGCCTCTTCCCTCCCCAGCACAGAGCAATGTGTGACAGCTACATTTGGCTCTGTGACTGTCTGCTCTGTGCTGGGGTGGAAGCTCCCTAAGGAGGGGAGCTCATCCTGTTCCCAGCTTCAACCTCATGAGTAAGGTGGGTGCCCGGTGCGTGGTGTGCTCTCAAAGGCTATCTGTGAAATGAATGCTTGGGCTGTTCTCTGGGGTTTTTTCCTTAGCCCCTCCCCTCTACTGGGCTTTGACCTCTCTTTATGTGGCAAAGGGTTTCACCACCTTCCTAAACACCCCAAGAGTCCCGGGTGAGGAGGGGGAGGATTCAACCAACAGGAAATGGCTCTGGAGACTCTTAAACGACTTTTCGGAGCTGTCCTGGAAGAGAAGACCCAGTATCAGGCATCGAGGTCCCAATCTACGCCTGAACCTATGGTTCTTGCACCTTAAGCTAAGGCAGTGGTTCTTAACTAGAGGTCATTTTGTCCTCCACCATCCAAGACACTTGTCAACATCTAGACACATTTTTGGTTGTCACGTTCGGGGCAGGAAGAGCTATTGGCATCTAGTGGGTGGAGGCCAGGCACGTCGCTAAAGCCTATAAGGTACTGGTATCTGGCTCACAAGGTCAATAGGTCAGTACCTGAGAAACCCTGGGTTAAAGTGATGATTTTTTTTTTAAGTTAATAACAACAAACATATTTTAAAAACCACTGGAACTCTTGATTGGCCTAGGAAGATGTAACTGTGACCTGAAGACCATAATGAGTAATTACAGAAGCTCATACCACCATGGGCAGTGGTAGACAAGGCCAGGGACTGAGCGGGGACAGACTCCCTTCAGTACCAGGCGTGCTGGCTCTATCACCTATTAGCTCTGTGACTTCGGGCAAGTGACCTCTCCTCTTTCTTCAGTAAATGGAGATGTTATCAGTTCTTCATAGGATCCTGCCTGGCATGCACTAGGTATTCAACAAGTATTAGCTACTACTAAAAGAAAAGGGGTAAAGAAACTATTTCAAGTCCAGCCAGGCACATGGGGCCACAGCCCTGCTTTATTTTTTTATTTTATTTTTATTTTTTTATTTTATTTTATTTTTTATTTATGATAGTCACAGAGAGAGAGAGAGAGAGGCAGAGACATAGGCAGAGGGAGAAGCAGGCTCCATGCACCGGAAGCCCGATGTGGGATTCGATCCCGGGTCTCCAGGATTGCACCATGGGCCAAAGGCAGGCGCCAAACCGCTGCGCCACCCAGGGATCCCTATTTTATTTTTATTTTTATTTTTTTTCACAGCCCTGCTTTAAATATCTGTCACATTCCCAGGCCACCTCTGGGCTTGACGTGGCCACAGGAAATGGATGGAGGGGCTGGGCTGTTGCCACATGTCCCAGGGACTGCTGCTCCCACTCAAGTTTTCGAATGTTTGGGCTGTTTGCTTGGAAAGAAATGACTCAGTTTCCATTGCTCTTTATTTGGGAGGCTCGGCGGGGTGGGGGGGGGCGGTGCAGGGGGAGAAGAGTCAGTATCCTGTCTTTCAGGGCTACAATTTGCACTTTAGGAAAAGAGGACAAAGGGTGGAGAGCAGAGCGACAGGAATGGAACAGTAACTGGAATTACTTGGGCTGTCCGGGAGGGATGAGGGTTGGTTACTGCTCTGTCCACTGCTGGCGGCACCACCACCATCCCACCACACACACACACACAGCCAGAGTGTGCGGAACACAGACAAGGAGGAAGAGGCCTGCTCAGGGACGGGTGGGACCAGCTTCAGGAAGAGGAGCCACCCACCGAGAATGGTGACTCAGTATCCCAGAGAGAGTCCTGAGTCAGCAAAGCGAGGATCAGCCCAACTACCACCAGGCCCTGCTTTCTCCCACACCCCTCCAAGCTGGAAGTTACATGGGTTTTGAGGCTACTCAGATCTGAAGCCAGAATCCCAGTAGGTGAGGTTGGGCAAGTTACTCAACCTTGCTGAGGCTCTGCCCCCTGTCGAGTGACCTGGGGTCACCTGACTCCCTTCACAGGACACTGTACGCTGAGCACATGGTCCAGCCCAGCACACAGCAGGTGCTGGATCACCGCCGGCGCTCTCCTGCCTTCCCTCCTGGCTGTCCTTGATGGTCACCTGAACCCGGTCACAAGTGGAGCAAGTGCGGTGTGGGCAAGGGGAACAGGCAGCCCTGAGGGGACTGCAGCAGAGAGGGGGTTCATTGCAACACCCCCTGTGCTCTGAACTCAGTACTCAAGGTGCTTTTCAGTCCTGCCTCTCCTTGGACCCTCACCCATCTAGATGCAGGACAAACAGAAGCCCCCGGTTGGAGGAAGGAAGTGGAGCTGGGGGGAAAGGGGGTGGAAGAGGAACTCGCCTGGGGTTGCTAGGTAGCCTCCCACTCCTGGGCCCCACTTTGGCGACCTCCAGATGGCCAGGGTACCCCACCTCCAACTCTTCAAACCGGAAGCTGAGGCCACACCTACCAAGCTGAGCACACTCAAAGCACACATGCGTGCGAGGCGGGAGCACCTGGGGGCAGCGGCAGGGTCTCATTACTCCTGCTGCGGGCAGGGGAGCCCAACGGGAAGGAGCACCAGGCTCTGCCCGGGGCAGGTCATTTATGTTCTCTGTGCCTCCACCGCCCCCCACATAATGGGGATGCAACAACAGCCCTACCACAGGGCTGCCAGGAGGACCAAATACGCATGAAGCAAAGCACTTAGCAAGTACCTCACACAGACTCAGCACGTATGCAGACAATGAATATTTGTTAAACACAAGAATGAAGGGGACGCTGGAATCACAAAGAGGTGCAGACGAGCACCTCCACCCTTCGTGCCTACAGGAGGCCTTGGGAGGGAGGGCCTCTTAAACACAGCAGGCGTCAGCACATTTTTCTATAAAGGGTCAGAGAGTAAGTATTTTAGGATTTGCTATTTACTCCACTCCGGGTGAGAGACCATAGGTAAACAGTAGGTATGGCTATGTTCCAATAAAACTTTATTTGCAAAAACAGGCAGCAGTAGACCTGTACTGCGAAGGTTCAGCTGAGGAGCATCTCTCCACACCCCCCATTCATCCTGCGGACCGAAGGGGGTCCCAGGGGCGGGGGCAGAGCCAGGGCAGGGGCTGCCTGCAGCTAGGGAGAAGTGGCCAGGTGGCAGCTGCCTGGGCAGCAAAAACAGGAACTGGCCCACCAGGCCACTGTGTCTCCGAAACTGAAGCTCAGCAACCATAAAAGGAAAGAAAAGCCCAGATGGTAGAGGTAGAACAGAGGCAGCATGCTTCCCAGGGTCCCTGTGATGTCCTTCAGCCCGCACCCTGCCAGCCACAGGGTGGTCTGAGGAGCCCAGGGTCTGGGCCAGCTCCACCCTTGGGGGCCAAGCCGCCTTGGCTCTCTGGGCCTCCCGGTCTGCATGTCCCAAATGGCGACACCACCGCCTCCCTGGCCTGGCACTAGGAAAATTTATTTATTTTTTATTTATTTTTTAAAGATTTATTTATTTATTTATGATAGACACACACACAGAGAGAGAGAGAGAGAGAGAGAGAGAGAGAGAGAGAGAGGCAGAGACACAGGCAGAGGGAGAAGCAGGCTCCATACCGCTGAACCACCCAGGGATCCCCAGAAAATTTAAAGAACAGAAACAAAAGGTATGAAGTTCAGGCTTGGGCCAGCACCCTACCCAGCTGGGGCCTGCCACGAAAAATAATACAAATAAACGATAATAATACCTCTGGTTTTCTAAGCAGCTGGGATGGGTCAAGAGCTCTGGCAGGTATTCTCACCTGAGAGCAGGGTGACAGCCTGCCTCCTGGTGGGAACCCTTCCACCCTGTTTTTACCATTCAGAAGACAGGGACTTGAGCAGTATCCCCTTGTCTAATAGTGAGGGTAGAGTGGAGAGAGAGGAGGAGAGCGCAGGCCTCCTGGAGGCCAGGGGTCCAGCTGGGGCACAACTGCCCTCCTCCCCAGTTGTGTGCCTCTGCACAGCTCAGCCTGACAAGATGGGAACACACCAGCCCCCACCGATCCTCTCGAGAGAGCACACACGTACACACACCCAGATCAGAGAGGCCAGACTTAACGCGACCAGCATCAGGAGCACCCACAACCCAGAAAGAAACATCCAGGGCCCACTCAGCTGCCAGCGACCTACCCCTTCTTCAGGTTTGTCACATAAGCACTCTGGAGGGCAGCTTCCAGGAAGTAGGTGAGCTCATAGTCAACCGGGTGAGAGCCTTTCAGATGCCGTGATGTGGTGTTATTTGTGATCTGGGAAGGGGAACACAGAGAGAGCCATGTCTCAGAACTCTGAGTCAGAGGGGCTGGGGCGAGAGTCAGCCCTGGCGGATACAGCAGCCCCATCACGAGCCCACATCCCGAGCCGCCGCAGAGTATTACGTGGTGCCATTCTCAGACTGAACCCCACCTCACTTGCTTGTTTTAAAGACGTCTAAAACATGGGCTTCTCGTTCAAATGCTGGATGCCCACGATGACATGCAAAGCTGGTTTTGTCTGCATTTCACAGATGTGGAAACTGAGGCTCAGAATGTGCCTACGGTCACAAAGCTGACATGCATCTAGGTCTCAAAATTCAGTCTGGCCAGTTACAGGCTCAGGCTGTTTCTACTACTTGTTGGTTCACTCATTCAAAAAACACGTGCCTACAATATACCAGGTACTGTCCCTGTCATATAACCACGGAATGTCAGGACAGCCCAACAGCTAAGACCTCAGATTCTAGGAAAACCTCTCAGGTTATTAACAGAGGTGGCCTCAAGCCTCAGCTCTAAGGGGATCATCCAGCCCCACCGAGACAGGCCTGCCTTTCCTATGCCACCTCCCTTCCCTCACCCAAGAAACACATCAATGAGCCATCCACCTTATCTTTCAGAAATTGAAGTAGATTTAAGAAAGGTTCTTAGTTCCTTGGAGCTTGGGGCTGGGTCTTAGGAGGGACACACAGCATTTCTGAGCATGCACAGTGTTCTGTGGCCTGCCCTTCCCTGACCCGAGATAACCAGCTCCTGGGGCCCATTTGTCCCCCCAACTGCCACAGGGCACTGATTCCAGTCCTGCCCACCATTACAGCCCCTCACCGCAACCCCCTTTAAAAGTCGAAAGCCTAGGGGATCCCTGGGTGGCTCAGCGGTTTGGTGCCTGCCTTCGGTCCAGGGTGTGATCCTGGGGTCCCGGGATTGAGTCCCACATCGGGCTTCCTGTGTGGAGCCTGCTTCTCCCTCTGCCTGTGTCTCTGCCTCTCTCTCTCTCTGTCTGTGTCTCTCATGAATAAATAAAAATATTAAAAAAGAAAGAAAAGAAAAAGTCAAAAGCCTAGGCTTCTGGCTGAATGGGAGACTATCTTTCTCATGAAAGTTTCTCCAAACCACATGCAATTCAAATGTGAAGAGCTCCAAAAATACTGCTGTCTAGCAGTGATCCACGTGACCTCAGCAGAGGTCACCTCAACCACGCCAAGTCTCTGAGTAGGTCTCTGCCAGGGAATGCACTCGAGTCCTGTTTTTGCTAAGTCTCTCAATCACTTCTCCTTTCCTCCTGAAATCTAAATCAAGCAGGAGGACTCTTGGGTAGTGACACTCACCAGGGATGTGATTTTACCCTCCAGGGACATTTGACACATCCGGAGACAGTTTTGGTTGTCACAACATTTTGGTTGAGAGGCAGGGAGCTGTCTGAAGAAGCCAGGGATGCTGCTGAACATTTTATACTACACAGGGCACCCCACACAGCAAAGAATGGTCTGACCCCGGTATCCGTGCTGAGGCTAAGAAACCTCCCTCTGGGAGAACTGGCCTGGCCTGAGGATGACTCCTCTAGCAAGGCTGTCACAAGACAGGTGCTGGGTTGACATTTTGGCACTTGCCAAAGTAGGTGAGGTTCAAGTGCCTCTGGGCTCTAACTCTCAGCTCATGACCACCTACCTCCTCCTTCAGGACACGGATCCAGGTCTCCTGTCACAGCACCTGCCTTCTAACATCTATTAAACATCTACTGAACACAACGTCTAAGCACCACCTCCTAATTCTCCCCCACAAGTGATCAGAGCCACACTCCCAGGGTTCAAATCCTGCCAACACCTGGACAGTGTCTGAACTCCAGGAAGCCACTGAATGCCTCCCCAAACCTGAGTTTCTCACTTAGGAAATAGGAACAACGGGACCTATCCCAAGCCAGTGGGTGTGTGGGTTAAATTCGAAAATGACTGTCAAGTACTCAGAGTACTGCCTGACACAAAAGCAGGAACTCAGTAACCATGAGCAGTATCTTTGCTAAATATAGCTGTCTATCCTTCCCCCCATCACGTCGGGAGCTCCCCAGATGGGAAGAATCGGGGTAACATCACGGGATACTGCTAACACCAGAATTGCTGTCCTGCAAACAGGTCCCCCAGGGGGCAGTGGGGAGAAGGGGAGACCTGAGGCCTTCCAGACCCTGGCTGGCTGGCTTCTGCTAGCCTCTGAAAGGCTTGAACAGTGAGCCCCGAGGTCTGCCCTCCCCGAGGGGATCCAGTAGGGAGCTTCCCAGCCACCTGAGGGCGGGGAAGGGTGCCTAACTGCAAGGATCAGCCAACTGCACGTCTTCCAAAGGGACTGTGGTAAACAAATGGTTTCATCTCTCTAAACCTCACCTAGTAGATGGGAATAAATACAATACCTACGTCACAGAGAGTTGCAGTGAAGATTACACAGGTTTGACGGGTGCAGATAAGGCTGTCACACTTGCTCATCAGAATCGAGCTCACCAGGGAGGCTTTGAGCTCCCCAGTGCAGTCTCGTTTATTAAATCTATTTGCTGGAGGCAAAGGGTCTCATTCTGACAGACTAGATATACTGTGATGAGCTTTCCAACCACTGAGGCAGATTGATACTGGAGGGATAGAGGGTGCCTTTTTCCAATATGCACAAGGGCGATCCACAGGCTTACTGGGGGGCTGTTGTGACAGGTGCTCAACAGAGGCAGCTAGAAGCAGAGTGCCATATTCCCAGCTCACCTTCTCCAACTCCTGCAGGAACACCTGAGCGATCCAGGAGGCCCTCTCAAAGCAGGTGATCACTTCCTCCTCTCTCTCTGTCAGGCGGTGGCGGGAAGCGATGGAGTTGGGCAGGCGTTCCAGGGAGAGTCCTGCGGGAGGAGGACAGCATCTCAGACCTCCCTGCCCTGACCCCTGACCCCCCGGCCCTGCCTATGGGCCTGGGGGTGGGCTCACCCAGGGAAACCCAGACTCAGGAGCAGCCAGTGGGGGTAAGGTCTGCGGTGGGGAAGGAGGAGGCTAAAGCAGTGGTATTGGCAGCGGCCGGGGTCAAGCTGCGGGCTAACGGCAGGCACACCTACGCCTCACACGGGGAACCACACTGTGGCACCCCCATGTCCAACTCCTGCCTACCCTTCTGGGCCAAATCCTACAGGAACCATTCCTGACCCTCCTTCCAGGTCGCTGGACGAAAACACCCACCCTCCTGGCACTCACCCTTTCTATGCTGTGCGGTGGTTACTGACACCCAGCTCTTCTCTCCCGAGTGAGGCAAAATGTAAGCCTTTCTGTACCCCCGCTGCAGTCCCTAAGTATGGGCACGTACAGATACAGGAGCTGGACAGCACCCGACAGGTACCCTTCCACACACTCAGTCTCTCCCTCAGATAAGTTATTCTCGAGCAGATCAACCTGCTGGAAGTAGACAGCTGCTGCCATTGCCCTGAAGGCACCCACTTCTGTTCTCCAGCCCCAGCACCTCACCTTCCCTATAAGCAGCCCTCCTGCAGTCTCTGAGGATCAGGACCCCAGTCCACCACCTGGGCAGACCCATCCACCCGGCCACAGTGACTGGCAAAGGATGAGCACAGGGCCCAGAACTGGGGCTGAGAAGCTGCGAAGAGGTCAGCCTGCAGACGTTAGGGAAAGCCTGCCTTAAAATGAAGCCACACAGCGTGAATATAGTTCACAGGACTGAGCTATACACCTGCCAAAGCTTACAATGGTGATCTTTTTTTTTTTAACCATAATTAAAAATTTTTTATAAAATAAAGTAAAATCATTGCTCTAAAGCAAATATAAAAAACAACAAAACACACCTAAACGAAAATACACTGAAGCAAAGAAATGGTCAGAACCCAAGAAGGGAAAGCACTGTGATGCTTACTAGCAGTGAATGCCATGAAGGAAAACATGTTTGCATCAGTTTGGGTTGGTTTTTTGTTAATTGTTGTGGTTTTGATTTTTTTTTTTTATTGGAGTTCAATTTGCCAACATATAGCATATCACTCAGGGCTCATCCTGTCAAGTGCCCCCCTCAGTGTGTTTTTTTTTTTTTTAAGACAAGAAAAAGACTGAATAAATTCACAGCCATTGTGGGGGGGAAATCTACAGAGTATAGAAGAGACGAGACTGAAGAGGGCAGATTCCTCACGACATCATCTGAGCACACTGCCTGAAGCTCTACCCCCTGAAACTTCCAAGTGTATGACGAGCCCATGACACCCCACCCCGTTTTGGGTCAAGTCAGTTGAAACTGTGTTTCTGTCACATGTGACTAACACATAGACCTGCAGTGGGTGCTGTCCTGGACTGTTGCTTCCTCATGTACAGAATCCAGGTCTCTCTCACCTTCGTGTCCCACGTGGTGCTTTCTATGCAACAGGTGCTTGGGATGAACTTACTGGAGGAGCTATAGGAATAGAACCCCCAACTCTCTCCTGCCCTCCACCCCAACAGCCAACTGAGGACCATGCCCTTAAAACTTCCCCTTTCCTTCTCTGCCTCCCTTGTTTTAGGCTTTACCTCGAGTGGATGATCACATCAGCCTAATTGGCCTCCCTGCCTCCAGTTTTTGTTGTTTTTTAAGATTTTATTTATTTATTTGAGAGACAGAATGAACAGAGAGAGAGAAAGAACAAATGGGAGAAGGAGGAGAGGAGAGGACAAACTGACTCCTCGCTGAGCAGGAAGCCTAACCCAGGGCTTGATCTTAGGACTCCGGGATCATGAGCTGAAGGCAGATACTTAATCAACTGAGCCACGCAGGCACCCTTCTCTGCCTCTGCTCTGGTTCTAATCCATCTTGCACACTGCTCCCAGGGTGAACCTTCCAGAACTCCACTGTTTCAACCCTTCAGGGGTCCCCAATGCTATACAGTGAGGTCCAAACACCGGTGCCCATACCAGGCCCTGCAAGATTCCATCCGCATCACCAGGCCACCCTTGGCGCTCACCACATGCTATAGGCTGAATGTCTGTGCCTCCAGCTCCCAGGTCATATGTTGAAAACCTAGTATCCAAGGCGATGGCAGTGGAGGCAGGGGTCTTTGGGAGGTGATGAATGGGATGCAAAGCCTTATAAAAGAGACCCCAGAGAGCTGCCTCACCCCTTCTGATACGTGATCACAGCAGGAAGTCAGCAGCCTACAACCCATAACCTAACCATCTCTAGCCTCCAGAGCTGTGAGAAATAAGTATGTGTTGTGCATAAGCCACCCAGTCTGTACTTAGTTATAGCAGCCCGAGCTAAGACATCATAGCTGCTGTATCTACACCCAACCTTCTGTTTCCAACTGCTGACTTTATTCAAATTGTTCCTTCTGCCTGGTAAACACTCCTCCTAACCACCCCCCCCCCCGAAGTCTACCCCAAATTACCACTTACCTTCTGGCCTCCTGAGTGCTTCTTTCTCTAGGGAACCCCTACTAAAATACCCTGGTATAACCAGCCATTCCCTCCTGGGGCCCCAGTCCATACTTTACATAACTCCTGCCCCACCTTTTCTTAAGCTTATTTATTCACAAGCTCACCCAAACAGACTGTATGCTTTTAAAGGCATCAACCACATCGTGTTCATCTTTCTACCGACTGGCACACAGTAGGCACTCAGCAAGCACTGGCTGGCTGAAGGAATGGCAAGTCTGATCATGTCTGACAAAGTACAAAGTGCCCTGCAAATTCGAGGTAAAGAATTATTGTTTTTCTTGGCTAGATCCCAACTTATATGGATTTAGTGACCTTGCCCTCTGCCAGGCTGGGGCGTGAACAGGTCCAAAGGTTGGGGTGACTCTGCCTGGGGGAAGGCAGGCACAGAATGTGAAGGCTCTTGCTCAACACAAAGACTCAGTTACCAGGGTCACCGAGTGTCAACGTGCCTCCTGCCAAATGACTCATGACCAGGAGGGAAAAGCTCCTCACTCGAGAGCACTAAACAGGGTGGAGAAATAGTAGGAGTCCTGGAGGAGACACGGAAAGAAGGCAGAAGGCAGGCTCAGTGCTGGGGCTGGCCCTGTCCCTCCTCCCTAGCTGTGTGGCCTGTCCACCCTGCAGGAAGGTGGGATTAACCAACTATTCAGAGGCCTGGCCTGGGAGACCAATTGCAGATGACAGGAGGACACAGATACTCCAGAAGCCCCACGGTAGATCTGTTTCAACACAGCCACCCTGTGGCTCACCTGAGAGACATGCTGCTGGCTGGGATCCTTCCTGCCTCACAGCTGGGCTCAGACCTGAGAGGGATGATGTTAGCCGCGTGCTGGCTCAGGCTGCCAGTCCCAAGCCTCTAGTGGGCTGGCCACTGCAAAGTGGCGAATTCAGTAACATCTGTCTGGGGGGCCACCACTGTCCATTGCTTCATTTGTCCTCTCTGTTCCAGTATGGGCCTCCCCACATGCTCTCTGGAAATTCTAAGTTCCATCCTCCTGGACAACTCACAGCAAAACCACTTCCTCCTGACACCACCTCCTGAAAGCCTTCTTAAGCCTTTTCCTGACCTCAGAACCAGCAGAACATTTCCCCCCACATCTCCTCTGCATATGCCTTTTTCCTGCCCTGTATCCATCCTCTCTGCCCATTCCTGACTGCTCTTGGCACCCAGTAAGAGCAGGGCTTGGTTTCTGGGGAGGGGATGGATACAGAGCTGAATGCACCCATTCACTGACGCTGAGGATAGAGCCCACAGGCTTTTCTCTTGCTCCATTTACAAAATGGCTTTTGCTGAATTTATAAACAAATTGTGGCATAGTTACACAATGGAACACCACTCAGACATCAACAAAAGGACAAACTCTTGATATACATACAATAAGGCTGAATCTCCAAAAAAAATTAGGTTTTGCACAAGAAGCCAGATATCAAAAAAAGTATATGCTATAGGATTTCAGTTACATGACATTCAAGAAAGAGCAAAATTATAATCCATATTAATAGAAACTAACTAATCACCAGTCACTGCTGGGAGTGGGGATGGGGGTGGAGAAAGAACCAACTGGAAAAGGGTCTGCAGGAAACTTTTGGGGTGATGGCAATGTTCTTTGTCTTTACTGGGTTATTGGTTACATAGGTATTTACCCTTGTCCAACTCACCAAATCATACACTTAAGATCGGTGTACCTCACTGTATGAAAATTCATCAGAAATGACGGACACGAAGCCTTTTCTGAAGGAAGCAGTTGTGAAAGCAAAGAAGTAAAAGATCAAAGTAAAAGAGCTACAGTCACTTAGGTGATTCTTTGGGGATAATTTCCAATATACGTTAAGACCAAAAGGCTTCCTGGAGCTGGCAATGGCTTTTCCTAATGAAGGTCATGGTCTAGTCATCCAATTCTGCCCATAAAAAGGGGCTTCTTTACCTTACATTTGCTCTTTGACTCCCATGAAGATCTACTTTCCTGTCTACAAATATGTGACTGGAAATCCACAGGTGACTCCAGCCCTTGGGTCCCTTCACCCTCTGCCCATGAGTGTTTCTGTACAAATGGCCAAACCACAACACTAGATCCAAGATGAGAGGGGGCTGCTCCTGAGCCAGGACCCCAGTCATCACGCAGCCCTGTGAGTGGGCAGAAAGCCAGAGGCTGCCAGGAAGCACAGGGCACTGCATCTCGATTCCCATTGGCAAAGGGGGCTTGTTGTGAAAACACCCAGCTCTACTAGGCAAGGGAGGAGGGACCCTTTAAAAAGTGGGCTTGTTTTTTGATTAAGTCCAAACTTTCGGTTTTGAGGCAAGCTGATCATGGTTAAGCCCTGGGCTCAACACCCAGGCTGGTCCCTGCCTCTTCAGGCTAAGATGACTCATCACATCACAGATGGGCATCTCTCCAAGAAGCCCCACCCTTGGAGCCCTGGGCCCTAGATGCAGAGGTGGAGA